CTAAAGGGGCTTACTGTGCATTCCCGACGCGCTGTAAAACTGCGCGAGGTCAGGGAACGAAAGAAGAACTGGTCAGGATTAACATGCATTTGTTAGATAAAGGGACAATCTTTGTCAGCTCTAGAGGAAGGATTGGCCAACCAGTCTCCAAAGCATTTACTCAGCACAGTCTTGGGTCTCTCAAGCGTGTAATCTTGCCACTGGAGCGATGGGCCAGGCACAGAATCAGGGACAGCCATCCCAAGCCCACAGCAAGAAACCAAAAGTAGGAACTTGTGTATGAATAAAGTTCCCAGCACTGCCACTGATATCCTGGGCGAGTCACCACCTCTTTCCCATCATTCACATGGTAACACCAGCTCCCAGTGACACAACGGTCATAAAACAGTTATCAGGATATGATGTCTTTACTCCTATGAAATGCCTTCCAGTAATTCGAAATGCCTGACTTGCAGCCTCTCCCGAACTGGGACCGACACTAGCATCTTTGCACTGTTTGACATTACAGAACACTGACAGGCTACTTTACGCACCTCCGACAGGACCTGTGATGCTGCAGGTCCTGCTCGGTCCGATCCCTCGGGGTGTCCTTCCTTATTCCTGGCCTGTGGTCCTTCCAGCCCTACTTGTGCCCTGGGACATGAGGTGTCTTAAGGGCTATGTTCGTGGCCTCCACCTTCCCCTACAGCCATGTCCATGCCTCACAGGAGTACACGATATCATTTCAGGGGGGCCGCCAGTCCCACAATGCTTGGCCCTCTCTCGGGCTTCAAAACGTTTGTTGGGGCTTCGGCCTTCTTGGCTTTGGCCCCTTTTCTCCGGCTGTGCCCTTCTCAGCCTAGGCTCATTGCACCGGATCTTGGCTTCTGGGCCCCCAGGCTGTGCCCCTTCTCAGGTCCCCAGACCCTGGTCCCATGCCTTCTCGGGCCCCTGGGCCAAGCCAGGTCTGCCATTATAGCTTAGCTTTGCTTCTTGCAGTCTGTCCTATGGCTGCTCGGGAGTCTGCCCTATTCTTCCAGCTTACTGTGCAGCTGGCCTCGTCTCAGCTGCTGGCCTACCTACACAGCCAGGCTAGCCTGCTGTACCTTCCCCTTTGTAGTGACATGGGTCTTTGGCTCCCTGCTACAATGCCCCACTGACAAAAAACATATATATATTCCCAGGAAAGAAGGACATAAGGAAGAGGTCCCTGCCTCCACTTCACTGAGAGCCTGGGGAGCTAAATGCACCCAGAGGCTGTTACAGAAGGAAATGAGGGGGCCTGGCATCACTTGTGCCCAACTCAGATATAACCTACCTTGTCTAATGTGCCACGGGGCCCTCTGGCCTCACACACCAACAGAATTACAGCTGGAAGCTGGATCAGAAACGGGTTTAGTCCTTTAAAGCAAGCAAGCTAAACCCTGAACTGTTGCAATTCTGAAGGCGTTACTCCGGGACCTCATGCTCCAGTCCTCTTTTGTGGTCCCTGGTCAGACGACACCTGCCATGAAGCACAATGGTCTCCCCGCTCAGTGAGGGGGAGTGATACAAGATGGGTGAGGGACGTTATGGCAGGAGGACAAGGCAATGTAATTGCCTCACCCACCAGGTCCCTCAGCAGCATTTTGGGAGGAAAACATGCAGTTTTCCAGCCATTTGCAATTTGGGTTAAAAAAAATAAAATAGATAAAAGCAAGACGATTTATCAGGACGGTGTTACTGGAGTCCTGACAAGCCAGGCCCCTTTCAGATGCTTCAAGCTGGACACATGAGGACTGAACCACTCCAAAGACCTCAACCGCTGGCTGGGAAGCAGAAGTTCACAAACCTAGAGTTTGCTGCGCCCAATTTTTTAAGTAAAAAAAAATCTTCCTTTCGAGCATATTTTAACCTGAAAGCTCAAAGCCCTTTACAGAGTATGGAAGAGTGCAAAACCACCTCCAAGGTGAAACAAGCATCTGTTTCAAGGCAGAAAAGTTGCCAGAAAAGACTGGAGCTTATGCAAGCGGAACTGCAATTGCCCACACAGCCAAACATCTTCTGCTATTATGGTAACTTCCTAAGTGCCATGGGAGACTTAAAAAAATGCAAAACTCTAGAAAGCTTGGTTCAGAGGTGATACCTTTTATTAGACCAACTAAAAAAAAAAATAAAAAAAAAAATCTTTTTTTTTGCAATTTCTTAGTTGAGATAATAAAACGTCTCAAGTGCTCTAGAGTTTTGCATTTCTTTTTGTCTCGAACCAACACAGCTCCGAAATACATCCTTGAAACAAGAGCGACTTAACTAACTGGTTCCACTTTGGTCTGATTCAAGACTTCTGCAGCATCCCCATCACTAGATGGAGTCCAGGGAGAGGACAACCGGCCAAAAAACCCAGTCCTTTTGGCTGCCGCTTTTGGGCACCTTCTGTTTAAATCCTAGCCACGTCTTACAACTTAGCTGGCGAAGTCACAGCCTGAACTGCCGGAGGCTCTTATAACACAGACCTCCCCTATTTGACACAGCAATGAGTGGCTGAACAGTGTCCTTTGAACTCTGCAGGTGGGAAAGGAGTCACAATGAGATCTTTCTGGGGGTTTCTTTCTTCTCTAGAGAAATGAATCAAACTCAGATTATGGAAAGCAGCTGCCGAATAGCTCCGTGGCAGAAATATTACCCATTTCAGAACACCACTGTGTCAGAACAATCATCGATTTGTGCCCTGCAGTGCCCATACAAGAAACCTTGCTGCTGTGGAATAACCAGTCCATAAGGAGGACTCTTCCAGGCTGTAAAGCAGCTCGTGATTACTTCTCTCAGAAAACTGCCTAGCTCTTCAGCTAGAAAACCTGTCTCCTTGAGACCTGTTAAAAGGCACATCGTTCCTGACTGTGTACCAGGAAGCTAAGGATGCCTTGTATCAGAATCGTTTCTTGTATTGTATTCTGCCTTTCAGTTTCAATGAGTGTTCCTATAATACGCAGAAAAAAATTGTTGTATAACGAGCAGAAAATTACCCAACAGGCAGAAAAAATGCCCAAGTTACTTCTTTCCACCCTGGTCTTTCCCTCCCAGGCACACAGTTCTGACTTTTGCCAGTCTACACGGAAGTTTCTCTGTACCCTTCATTATTTTTCTTGGCGGTCTCAGAGCCCTTTCCCTCAGGCAGCGGTGGCTCATAACTGACCCAGCATTGAAGGCAGAGGTTAAAAAACCCACGCTCATTCTTGTATGAGCATGGTATTCTCAGTACTGCTTTAAAATCCGGTCCTTGTGCATCACAATGCTTGTTTTTCTAACCTATGCTGTAAGCTGAAACCCAACCTTTCCACAGAACTGTCCAGAAGAATATTAGCAAATCATTTTCCTATCCCTTGGCCAACAGCAGAAGCAAGGCATGAAGCTGTATGGGGTCTAGGGGGCAACTGGAAAACTGCATCTACTTCTGGGAAAAAGGTATGACTTAATTACAGTGACCTAATCCACATGCATAAGATTCTTTGGAGGCCTCGTCTCAGCTGGTCAAATAGGCCAAAGGACCCGAGATCAAAAATCAGATCACCTCAAAGAAGATACTCGGAAGCTGTGGATAAGATATGCTCGCATGGGGACTGCAGCAGCAGCTGAAGCATCAAGTCACAATGAAGTCCTGCAAGATCACAGTCAGTTGTACAAATACAGCAACTGCAGCAATATCCCCTTCAACCGGCTCCTGTTTCCATCTGCTGTGATAAAGCCAGCAAGACTCCAGCCTTTGGGCCTTGTTAGACCTTGTGCCGTAAGCCGAACAAATGCTAAGTGGCTTGGTGTTATTCGGCTTAGTGGAGCAGTCACATGAGGAGGCAAAAAAAACCTGCTGACTGTCCTTCACCTGCACAGCCGTGACTTGCCACTAGAGGCTTGGTGAGCAGAGGAACTAGGAACAGGACCCATTTGCTGCTCTTGCGTGGCAGAAAGTGGACCCACCACAATGTCAGTTTTAGTGAGACCAGAAAGATCCTAGAACAGGGGTAGGCAACGTTTTTTGGCCGGAGTGCTGAAAAAACCCACGACGTCTACCTTGGAAGGTGCTGGAGTGCCGGCATGCCAAAAAAACAAAATGAGGGCAGGGGCGGGTGGCGGTGGTACGTGGCAGGACGTACTGCACTCAACAAAAAAGGAATACACAACGACAAAGGCAACATTTATGATTATTTAATAATCATAAATGTTGCCTTTGTCATTGTGTATTCCTTTTTTGTTGAGCATGTTGCAATGAGAGAGAGCAAAAAAAAGAGACAAACAAGAAAAAGAGGAGAGAGAGAAAGAAAAAGAAGAGCAGAGAGAACCAGACACAAGAGCAGACAGAGAACCACGTGCACAACCACAGAGAACCAGAACACACCCAAAACAGACATGCACACAAACATCCCGAACCAGGCACGTGCACACACAGATGCACAGGGCCAGACAGAGGCAGACAAACACAGAGAACCAGATGCGCACGGAGCCGGGCTCCTGGGCCACTGGGCAAAGTCTGACCCAACAATGTGCTGGTCCTGCCAGAGCCCCTGTGCTTCCCTGGGGAGCGAGCCCCTGGGCTGCAGCACAGCTGGCTGAGGCCCTGGCCCAGAGCCAGCCCATCAGCCCAACCACCCTCCAAGGCTGCAACCCTGGAGCTCACTCGCTCTGAGCAGCCCAATCCTTTTTTCTCCAGAGCTCAGGTGGTGCCTGGCCCCTGCACTGCCATCAGCAGGAGCAGAGCTAGTCTGGACAGCGGCAGAAGGCACCGCAGTTGCTGGGCACTCTGGGGGAAAAAAAAAGGATGGGGCCCTGCAGAGCTCAGGTACTGCCTGAGCGCGCGCACACACTGCCCCTGTGCCTGCAGACACCCCCCCCCTACCAGCGCTGTCCCATGCTCTGAGGTCTAGTCTGGGGATGCAGCCACAGCCAGGTGGTGCTGGAGCAGGCCAGGGCAGGAAAGCAGGTAACTGGCTGGGGGTGGGTGGGGCTGGGCTACTCAAGCCTGCAAGCCTGCTGAGGGCTCCCTCTGGGTCCTACTGCCCCTGGCTCCAGGCAGCTTTGACAGGGAGCCA